TACTGGCAACACTAAGGCCTCATGCGTACTTGAGCTTTGTTTCTTTGGCTTTGTTTCCTTTTTTCTTTTTTAGTTTATGAACTTTGGTTTATTTTGTAACTTCTAAGAATGCTGAGTGCTAAGCGTGCCTCCTCCCGCAGTGAGGTGAAGGCCCTGTCGGACTGGTTCACTTACTTACCAAGGAAGCTCTTATTTTATTATTGTTTTTTCCCATCCCCCCACCTGTGGTATCCATTGGCTTATTCTCTGTATCTGTGGGTTTGTTTTTGTTTTGTCTGTTCACTTATTTTGTATCTTTCGATTCTGCATATAAGTGAAATCATATAGTATTCCTCTTTCTTTGACTTATTTCACTCAGCACGATGTCCTCTAGGTCCATGCATGTTGTCGCAAAGAGCAAGATTTTATTCTTTTGTATGGCCAAGTGATATTCCATTGTATACATGCACCACATTTTCCTTATCCACTTGCCTACTGGTGGGCCCTTGGGTGGCTTCCGTATCTTGGCTGTTGTAAGTAACGCTGCAATGAACCCAGGAGTACATGTATCTTTTCACATTAGTGTTTTGGATTTCTTGCACTCAATACCCAGAAGTGGAAGTGCTGGTGCACATGGTAGTTCTGTTTTTAATTTTTTGAGCAACTTCCTTACTATTTTTCCCTAGTTGGCTGCACCAGTCTATCTTCCCAGCAACAGTGAGAAAGGGTTCCCTTTTCTCCACATCTTCGCCAACATGTGTTTGCTGGTTCATTTATGATGGCCACTCTGACAGGTGTGAGGTGACATTTCACTGTGGGTTTTTTTTTTTAAGATTTTCATTTATCCATTTTTAGAGAGGGAAGGGAGGGAGAAGGAGAGAGAGAGAGAAACACCAATGTGCGGTTGCTGTGGGCTGTGGCCTGCAACCCAGGCACGTGCCCTGACTGGGAATCGAACCTGCGATGCTTTGGTTCGCAGCCCGCCCTCAATCCACTGAACTATGCCAGCCAGGACCTCACTGTGGTTTTAACTTACATTTCCCTATGATTACTAAAGTTGAGCATCTTTTCATGTCTCTGTTGGCCGTCTGTATGTCCTCTTTGGAGAAATACCTATTCAGGTCATCTGCCTGTTTTTTTTTTACATAAGGCAATTGGATTGCTTATTTTATTGGTTAAGTTGTATGAGTTCCTTATACATTTTGCATGTTAATGCTTCATCAGAGGTATCATTTGTGAATACCTTGTCCCACTCCGTAGGTTGTCTATTCATTTTGTTGGCGCCTCGTTCTTCATTGCATTTCCTAACACTCGAGTGAGGTTCTCCCTAAGTTCCTCTATTCTACTCCCGAGTTTGACCAGAATCCTTATGACTAAATTTGAATTCCACATCAGGCAAATTACTCATTTCTGTTTCCTTGGGTCCCGCCCCCCCCCCCCCGCCTCGCCCCAGGTATTTTTCTTGTTCTTTCACTTAAGAGATAATCTTCCGTCTTTTCATTTTGTGTGACTTTCTGTTTGTTGAGAAGAATTAGACAAAATAGCGGTTTCTCCCAGCCTTGGAAACGTGTGCTGACATCGAAGCAGAGGCCCTGCGTCGACCGTCTGCGCTGGGTGGTCTGAGGGCTGGCAGGGCCCAGCCGACCCCTAGGCAGCCGGGTTCGGGCCGCAGGGGCTGCAGAGCCCGCGCGGCGGCAGTGGGGCGGGCAGGCGGGGAACTCGATGCTATGGACCAGGCTTGCTGCCTCTGTCCAGGCCGAATCGGGCTCGGCACGGACTCAGACACCTGCTGCGGCGACCTGGCAGGCAGGCCGGTCCCAGGAGGTGGAGGTGGTGGACGGTGGCGCTGAGGCTCCTCCCCACCCGGCCTCTCCGCGGTGTGGCTGTGTGGTGTGCGGCACCAAGAGCGGCCCCGGGGGGCTCCACGGGTCCGACGGTGTCGGGAAGGCCCGTGGAGCTGCGCATGCGCTCTCCCGGCCAGGGCAGGTGCTCCCAGTGCTGGGCATGCGCTCCCCATGTGCAGGCACGTGCTTGTGGCACGCGGCACCCGCTCTCCCTGAACAGGGCACGTGTTCACGGCGTCGGGCACGCGCTCTACCTGACGGCGCGCACGCGCTCTGACGCCCGGGCACGAGCCGGCCCCCTGGAGCCGGTGCGTGAGGTGGCGCCCTGTTGTCCCCGGCGGTCGCCCTGTTCGAGGCCGAGGGCTTGGGGACGCTGGAGCTGGGACCGCCCTGCCCCGCGGGGACCTGGCAGGTAGGCCACCGCCCCGGAGGGCTCCCGCCGCTCTGTGCGGCTGTGGAGGCGCCAGCTGCGGTGCCACAGCCCCTCAGGCCGCGACGGCTCCGCCGCCCCCGCGTCTCTGTTGAGTCTCTGCCCCTGCGGGGGGGCGGCGGCGGCGCTGTCGCTCAGCCCCGGGTGCCGCGGGAGCCGGAGCGGGGGCGCTGCTGTCCACCCGCGGGGGGGGGGGGGGCTTGCTGGCGGGAGGGCGAGGCCGGCGCCATCTTGGACCCGGGCGTGTCGGGGGGGGGGCGCCTGAACAGACTTGGGTCGTGGGGCGATGAACTCCCGTTGCCTCCGTTCGACCGACCGCTGGAACGAGTGTCTTTGTTTTTCTGAAGTGTTTCAAGGCAAACGCTGCATGTTAGCTAGGGGAGGTCTTGTCGGGCCCGAGGAGGCAGCTTCGGCGTCGTGGGAGTGGGCCGAGCGGGGCCGAGCGGGGCGTGGAGAACGACCGGGCAGCGTCCGTCCCCGCGGCCCCCCCTCTCGCCCCGTGTCCGGTTGGCCCTGCTTCCCGCCCGCGTCACGCTCGGCTGCAAAGTACCTGTGACATTTGTTCCGCGGAGGCGTCTCCAGCCGGAGGGTTTTGTGTTTGAGGGGCGCCCCCCGCCCGCAGCCTGACCTCCCTGCGACCCGCTCCTCCGCCTCCGCCTCCTGCACGGAAGGGACTGGACTCGCAGCCGTCCCTCCTGGGCCGGCCAGGCTTGGGGAAGGGAGGCCGAGCGCTGCGCCGTGGAACCGGGGTTCCCGCCAGTGAGGGGCCTGCAGTCGGCTCGGGGCCCGAGAGTCACAGCAAACGTTCGCTTCTCAGAAACCCTGCGGCGATTTACAGTAACGATAGCCCTGCTTAACTTCGCCTGCCCGGTCGGGTAGAGGAACTTCTTTTTTAGGCCGCCTATGAATATCGCACGGGATGCCGGTGGTTTAGGAAACAGTGCGGGGCGTGCTGTCCTAAAATTATTCCTTCCGGTCCGGGGCCGCAGGCGGGGTGTGTGGTCCCGCCCCCGCCCCTCCTCCGTGGCCGGGGGACGGTTCACTCGGTCCGCAGGGTCCGCAGGGTCGGGGGCCGTGGGAGAGCAGGCCCGGGTGGGAGCAGCTGAAGGGCTGGGGTGCGGTCGGCAGTTCCGTGGGGCCCGGGTGGGGGCGGCCGGTCAGTGCAGGCGGAGCGCCCGGACAGGCAGAACGCAGGGGCGACGCCAGTCCTGGGGACCCCGGCAGGACCCTGTAGCGGCCTGAGGCGGGACCACGGGAGACCGCTGCTCTGGTGGCTTCCGGCTGCTAGGCCAGGGTGAGCTCGCGCGCGGTCCTGGAAGCTGAGGGCCAAGGCCGCGTTCGCTCTCGGAAAAGGCACGCGAAGGCCACCGACTGAAGGAAGCGTGTGTTGTCCCAGCAGCAGAGGGGGAGCAATCCGACCCTTATTTATTTATGCATGTATGCAATAGCTATTTTTAGAACACGCATCTCGTCTTTAAAGAACTGTAATTTTACATGTGCAAAACATCTTTATAGAAGCCAGTCTCAAAAGACAACTAATGTGTAAATGGTTTCATTGCTCACGTTTAGTATTTTCAAGCCTCGTCTTCCCCAGCCCTGAGACCCTTATCTTGATTCATCCTCAAAATTCTGTAAATGCCACGCTCCTGTCTGCTTGGCATCTGGCTTTGTGGAGACCAGCATGACTTCTGTTCTTCTCCACGTAATTTGTTTTCTTTTAAAAGCCTAGATTTTTATAGAGAAAATTTTTTTAAACTTTAAAAATTTTTCAGGTTTTTTATTTGGAAGTGATTGTAGATTCGCAGGAAGCCATTAGAATCATAAACGACCTCCTGCGTGCCCCCTCCTGGGTCCCCTCAGCGGGCGGAGACAGCTGACACGGTGGTGGTGCCACACACAACCGGGCCCTCGGCGCCGGTGCGGTGCTGTTCACCAGGCTGCAGAATCGTTCATTTTTCCACCAGCGTTTGCTTGTGTTTGTGCGTGCCGCTTTTTGCAATTTCAGATTGGATTCCAACTTTTATTTTGCAAACTATTCTCTTCCTTTGCCTCACTTCGGGCCTCAGAGTGCTCACCTCCAGGCTCTCAGCCATCTCCCAGAGTCATGCACAGCCTCCTCTCTCCTTCCTCTCACCCATCGTGTGTTCTCCTGGCCCATTTCTCTCTCCAACCTGTAACCTCCCCTTCCTTCCAGCCCAGAAGCTTTGGAAGACTCCTCTGTCGCTCTGAAGAGAAGGCCCATGCCGATGTCTCATTTAGCCCTTGTCTTTTCCTCCCTGGACCGTCTCTCTGTCACTCTTACCTGCACCCCCAGCCTCGGGTGGTTTCTGTGCCGCACCGAGTTCCTCCTGGGGCTGCACCTTCGTGCGTGGCCATAGACATAGCCATAGCCTGAGCCATAGACATAGCCATTCCTAGCGGGAAGGGAGGGCTGATGATTAAGTACGTAGCTCCTGAGCTCTATCACAGAGGAGGTGAAGGGAGAGAGGGTTGGAATGAGGTGCTGGGCCAGTGAGACTACTTTGTCAGCTACGGACAGTGCTTCCCTCAGGCTGAGGACCCGTTCCCAGAAGGTCGAAGTGATCTATTAAGTTTTGTCTCAAATCCCTAGTGTCTAGCATAGTATTTGGCCTTTGGTCAGCACTTGCTTGAAACCTGTAAATAAATGAACGAACACATGCATGCAGTATACCAGGGCTTAAGAAACAGCGTTTTAAGAGCTGTTCATTCTTTGATCGGACAGAGAAGCCGTTTCCCTGTCAGCCGCCCCGTGCAGCACTCCGGCGCCCAGCGGCAGGGTCCCTGCTGTGTGGGTGCGGAGCAGCCACAGTCGGTGTTGAGCTCCAGGTCCGTTCTCTGCCCTTCTTCCCAGTGGGAGAGTCCCATTGGTGGGAGGGGAGAGGGGGCAAACGCACAACCCTGTCAGGCGTGTGGGAGGACAAGAAGCACTCAGGACAAGGCAGAGCAAACCCAGGGAGGGGAGCCAGCCTCAGAGAGGGGGTGTGCCCCACACCGTCACTCCCAATGGGTTTCCACTTCCTGGGAGAGATTTTTTACTTGCCTGGTGGGAAGGTTTTTGTATTGTGAACCACTGGAAATTTCTTCTACATTTAATTTCCTTTAGTTACTAAGGCTCCTCAGTAAGATGAGCTTCCCGGTGCAGCCTTGTGAGGTGGTGGTGGGGGTGGGGGGGGGCTGTGGGTTGGACCGGGAGGCTTTGGTCTCCCACATCACCCCTGTGAGGCCAGCAGGGCAGTAGCGGCGCTGTGTGGACACATAGCCCTGAGCATGCTGGGGCTGGGCCAGCGGTGAAGACAGCGCGGTACCAGCAGCACAGACAGGGCAGCGGGTGCTGCCGCCAGGGTGTGGCTCAGGACCAGACATGGGTGGGGCTCCCAGCAAACCCATGGCCCCCAGGACACTGAAGGAGGGGGTCTCTAGGATGCAGGTAGGGGTGGAAAGAGAGTTCTGAAATACAGCTCTGCCACTTTGAGCTGTGGCCTGCAGTACGTCATTCTCTCCGCACCTCACAGGACCCACATGACTGGGCTGTTGTGAGGGTTAGAGGAGCAAACGCAAGGCCACCACTCAGGGCATGTTTTGTGCTCAACAGCTGTTACTCGTATCTTGGAAATACCTCGGAAAGCTCAGCCCCTCGTCCATTCCCTCATAAACAAGAGGGAACAGCCACAAAGGTGGAAAGATTGGTCCAAGGTTCAGCGATAGAAGGCAGTGCTATCCTAGGATAGCTCCGTATTAGCTGTTACCGAATTATTCAGAAACTATTTCTGTATCAGTCCCCACCACCGAAACTGTTACTTGGAGGGAGACAACTGCCGCAGCCATCTGGTGTACCCAGCGCACAGCATGGCGCCCCACAGACAGGACTGCTCGGCGAGTGTGTGCAGAGCCACAGCCGGTCCCCGCGCTCGCCTCCCTTCCCAACGTGACCTCTCCCCAACCTCCCTCCTGGGCATTTGGAGTGTCCTGGAAGCCCTCGGGCTGGCGTTTTCATTAAACAAGGACTTCCAAGGGACAACCACCCTTTCCTTTCCTGTCCATTCTTGGGCAGGCCAGAAACCCTCCGTTCACAACAGGAAACCAATAGCTTTGTGCTATCAGAAGACATTTCCTTCACAGCACAAAACGTCTGAGTAATAATTTCGAGCTGGGCTTCACCCATTTCCTGCAGAGGGAGGCAGATTTGCCTATCCCAGCACTCCAGAGCCCTTGTTTTCCAGCTGGCAGTGATGCAACGCCTTCTGCACTGGGGACTCAGGCGGTCCTCTCCCCGTCACACCAGATCCAGCGTCCTGGGTGGCGCACTCATGGGGAAAGTGGCCTCTCCACATTGATGCAGAACAGAGAAGTCACTATGAGGAGTTCGTGCCCTCGTCTAAATGTTTCTTAGGCAGCTTCGAGAGTAAAAATTCATGGGCTAAAGAGAGTCACAGCTTTCTCTGAAAGTCAACCAGGGATTAACATGTTGGGGAAAAGTCTGACAGACTGACACCCAGTCACTCCCTTAGGACTGATGTGGTCCATCGGGTAAATGACATGAAACTGTGGGGTGGAGGTGGGCTTTGCCTGACCACATGGTCTGTCCCACCATCTCCCAGCTGAGGCCGGAGCACTGTACTGTCTACCACTCCTGGAAGAGCAGAACCTGGTCCTCCTCAGCACTCACATCAGACCTTTGCGCACTGAGGCTGGGAGACTTAAGAGACATTCTTGTTCACATGGGAACACGGAGGCCCCGGGAGGCCAGTGACTTCCCACAGGCGGCAGAGCAGTAGGTCTCGGGCTGAGCCAGGTTAGAGTCCAGACTCACTCCTTTCAGGACCACGTGCCCCGAGGTTTTGAATCCCTTTCTTCTAACACAGTCTTGTAAACTGCTCGTCTGGATTTGGGGGCTCACCTCCAAGCTGGCAGAACACCGTGTGTTTCTAAAAGCCATAGCTGACAGGGGCCCCCAGCGTGGGCAGTCCCAGCCATAGACAGCCACGTCACACAGCAAGTGTGAGGGGGCAGCTACCACCCTCCTGACCTGGTAGAGGGCGGCCCTGTCAGAAGGCAGTTGGAGGGCCCCTCCCGCCCCTGTGGCACCACGCAGCCTGTTCCTTTGCTGCGAAGCCAGTGTCACGTCGTGAAGTGTGCACTGCAAGGACGCAGAGCCTGTAGAACCAACAAGCTTAACCAGACACAGCCGAGCAGCACAGAAGCCCAGACTGACAGTCCATAATGAGCTTCCTGGAGCGAGAGGGTGGTTGCAGGTCTCGTGGGACAGGGGTGGTGTGGGACACACAGGCAGTCGTGGATCTACAGTTGGACCGGAGTCCCTCCTCTTCCCGCACTGCTTACAGGTTCCACCAGTCCCTTCCCGGGTAGACGTGTGTGTGGGCGCTTGGATATAGGCATCTATATTTTTCTGTAGTTTTCAGTTTATAGAGTGGGCCATGCCATTTTCGACCATGTGTTTGCCCTGTACGTATAAAGTCCAGAGATAAGCACCCCTTCAGGTATTTGTATAAATACTTACTAAGCAGACTCAAACTTGGATAACAGGAGGAGGGGTTAACAAAGGAGCGTTTATAAAGGCGTGGAGGCTAGTGGAGCGGCGCCACAATCTGGAGTTTGTGCGGCTCAGAGGGCCAAGGGGAGGCACTGGCTGTAGGGGTCTGGAAGTGGAGAGTCTTGCAGAGAAGAGGCTTGGAGAGGAGCGATGACTCCTGGTCGAGAGAGACAGTCACTTGCAGGCACGCTCACGGAGAGAATCCTGGAGGACAAACACCCTGACCTCACTCTTCTCCCCGCCTCCTGCTGGGCCTCCCGTTGGCCAAAGCCAGCAGGAAGCCGGAGGGCCAGGGAGCATATCGGTGCAGATGGAGCAGCCGGGAAGGTGTATGTCTTGGATTTGGAGTGGCGGTGCCGTGATTTCAGTGCTGGGTCTGTCCTGCCCTCTGTGTCCCCCTGCCCCCGCCCCATGGTCCTAACAAGCTGGGTTGGCCAGGAGGCCTGCCAAGAAGACACCTGCCGACTGAGGTTCTTGTCTCTGAAAGTGTAAAGGGGAAGAAGGGCCCTTGTCAAGCAGACACCGTCGTGAATAGGGGCCTCAGCAGGGACAATGGTTGTCTGGACAGTAAACAGTTTGAAATCACCTCAGAGTGTGAGAGCTCTGGGGAAGGGATCCTCCTTCTCTTGCTGAAGGGCACCCAGAAAGCCACCAGCACAAGTTCAGGGAGGCCAAGGGAAAGGCGTTAAAGGCTGAGGACTCAGCGAAACTGAGACTGGATTGTGGCTACAGAACTCAAATAAAATGGAAGACTTTCTTTGAGGAATCGCCTGTTCCTATAGTTTGTGTTCAATATGGTCCAGTGACTGGGCACCCGAAGTAAGCTCCTGGCGGAGGCAGTGGAGAAGCTCGCAGAGGGGGGCTCAGGGAGAACGCAGTCCTGGTTACGCAGAGGTGGGGACCCGGATGAGGTCAGAGGGTCGAGGGGTGTCTGGGGTGGCTAACGGTGAAGTGATGCTGAAATTCAGTGGGTGACCTTTGCTCCTCTGTTTCTCCAGCCTCTGCCCTGGGACGAGATATTTAGGGTCAGGGCAGGTTGTGGTCATGGGTCGTCTTCGTGGGTCTACCCTGGCCAAGGATCAGGGAGGACGGACCCTGGTTCATGGAAGGGGAGGAGCCAGTGCTTCGGGGGAACCTGCTTCCCACTCTTGCCCAGACTGAGTCAGTGCCATTTATTGGTTAATTTACTCATCGGTCTTTGTATGCCAGACCTGATGCTGCATGCTGGAGATACAGGAATGAAGTGTGCTTCAAGAAACCCTTGAGCCCTGGCTGGTGTGGCTCAGTGGATTGAGTGCCGGCCTGTGAACCAAAGGGTCGCTGGTTCAATTCCCAGTCAGGGCACATGCCTGGGTTGTGGGCCAGGTCCCCTGTAGGGGGCGCGCGAGAGGCAACTACACACTGATGGTTCTCTCCCTCTCTCTTTCCCTTCCCCTCTCTCTAAAAATAAATACATAAAATCCTTAAAAAGAGGAAACCCTTGAACACATCTGTGAGTGTTCTGTGACATCCTCTCATGAGCTATGTGCAAGAGAGGTAAGACCAGATTCATTGTACTTTAGGAGAGAGAGAACACGGGTGATGCTAGGTCCAGCCAGGTGAGAGGCGCCCCAAAGGAGGTAGTGCTTGCTGATACACACACGCTTTTCACTGGGGACAACTGAGTCGCCAAGGACACGCAGTGACAAGGCTCAAGAACAGGACTACTCACTGGTGGAGTTCTAAGTCAGACCCAAGTGAGTAGGTAGCCATTCGGCAGGCAGTGTTTCACACGGATGTGGAAGGCCCCTGCCCAGCAGAGTCACAATGTGACATTTACGGAGCTTTCTCACCAAGTTACTGCCTCGTCGACCAACTGCTCAGCAGTGTCGGTGGGGAGGGAGCATGAAGGGGTGGGCTTGTGTTCTAAGGAGAAGCGTGTCGGTGTTAACCGTGGGAAGGAGCGTCGTTACTGAGGGACGGAAAGGACTGGAGATGTCATCCCAGGGGCGCTGGGCGATGGACTCGGGGCTGTCCGGGGTGCGGGCGTTGCTGTGGTGGGTGTTGCTGTGGTTAGACCGTCTAACGGGGACCACTGTGCTCGTGCACGGGCTCGGGGTGCAGGCCCAGCCCCAGGGCCCCTTTCCACTCAGCCGGGCAGGAAGGGGCTCGGACCAGAGCAGTGCACCTGGAACCACCCGGCGAGGGGCCCATGTGAAGCTGAGGGTTAGAATTTTCACTCTCACAGATGCCAGGATTCCCTCCAGTTGAAGTTAAGAACCAGCCAGACTATCCA